GGGCAGCGGTACCGGGCTGCGGCGGATGGTTGGGAGGCAGAGCCTGTTCGCTGCGCGGCGAGCCCCTGTAGCTGGGGTAGGAACAGCTGCCCCGGGCAGCGGGCGGGGAGAGGAGAAAGCAAGAGGAACCGTCCGGAGTGACTCGGCCCGGCGGCGAGCACAACGGCAGCGCTGGCTGTGGTCACTCTCGTGGAGTCTCTGCTGGATGGCTCTTGCTAACCCGCTGATCTGAGCGGTTGTGTCCTCTTCTAACGTCTTTATGTCATACTGACAGAGGAGCGCGTGAAGGAGGTGGCTTCCAGGTCGTTTGACAAAACCAGAACGTGCGAGCAATCTATAGTGCAAAATAAGTTTTATGGAGAGTTGGGAGAAAGTAGTGGAATTGGTTGTAGCCTGTAGGAATTCATGTGATTGTTGAAAATAAGGTGGAAAGGACTTTACACATGGTGAAGCATGTGAAACTATTACAAAAAACGCTCTCTCTCCTTTCCATGTTAGCAGCATGCAAGTTGGGTATGCCCTAATTTTTTCAAAATTATTGGAGGTATTTTGTACTATAGAGTGGTACTTTGTTTAAATTAAAAAAAATAAAAAATAAAAAAGAGGGGACTCCTTACTGAAAGCAAAAGGATTAGTGTGACCAGCATGAGATTCCTTATGTTCTGTATTTGCTAACAACTCTTTAAATCCCCTGTTTGTCTTAGAATTCTAAGTGACTGCATTTTCAGTGTGCATGTCAGGTAAAAGTAAAAAATTGAGGTGGTTAAATGAGAAGCAGGGCTTTAGATCTTGTGGAGAAGTGCCGTGTTATCTTACGTGATCTAGTAATGAAGTACTTGTTTGTAACTGGTGAAACAACTTGCAAGAAACATGGTAAGTCTGTTTGTCACAACTGATTCTGAAAGCAGTAGCTGCTTATGAAAAAGATTTCCTAAGGAACATTTTACCAATTTCATGTGTTATGGTATTCATGTAGTAACAGTAACAACAGCTTGTGAGCAACATAA